GAGGCGTGGGATGACGGACGAGATACAAATGTCTACCTATAGATCTGGCCTCTTGGTAAATATCACCTTTATTCATTGGATTTGCTATTTTGCTTCATGTTTGCCATGAAAAAAAAAATTCAATTGTAGTAGGGCACTCTCTGATGTAAGGTTGTCAACCCGCGGGTTGACCCGGACCCGGTTGAGCTAGTGGATCAATGGTTAATGGGTCATCCGTTTTAGCCCGGAAATATGAAAAACGTCATTATATTGTACTTATCCTGAAAAATTGTATCAAATCTCATCTAACATATGAGTTATAACATATAATATTACACCAAAATAACATTTCGTACTTAGATTCAACATATAGTGAAAATTCACACATACTTATATAACATTAATATTTAAATGTTCAACTTAGGATTCCAAAAATTGAGTTAGGCGAAAAGAAAAATTGGAATATAAGCACATTTCGCAAAACAAAGAAAAAAATTACACAATTTGACCTCCAACCCAGTACCTTGTAGCGGTCGACCCGACAGGTGCGTGCGGCCCGTTTTTTTCACCGGGTCAGGGTCAAAGTGGGTCAACCCAGAGGTCGACCCGCGGGTTGACAACCTTGGACCTTCATGTAACCTAATTCGCCTACACAGATCTCGGCCTCTGCCAACTCGCCGGTTGCTGTCACCCTCGCTTCTCCAGAATTCAGCGGCCATGCATCTCTGTTTCTACCTCCAGATTACCATATTCCCCAGCGCTCGCCACCCAAGCCGTCGTCGGTGCAACCTCAGGCTGATTAAAATCACCTATTGATGAATGGATGAAGGGTAGTGGGGGATTGGATTCGGGATTGGTAAGAAGAAAGTTGAGATTTGGGAAGAGTTTAGAACATAATTAGGAATTGGAAGGGAGATTGGGATAATCTTACGTAACTTTTGTACTTGATTTATTGATTTCCTCCGACGATATAGGTAAACGACAATATATAGACATTAATCCGAAACCCTAATCGACTTAACCCTAACTAATGACTAAACTACCCCTGACCTAATGGCATACCTCCATCACCTATTCAATTGATTAGTTTCTATAAGATCGAGGGAACAAGACAAGGCTTGTGAATTTAATTGATTAACGAATTAACTTGCACTTTTGGGAGGAGGATAACTAGATAAGAGAGCAGGGAGTTTATGGATCTGGGAAGGGGGGGGGGGGGGGGGGGGGGGGAACGGGAATGGGAAGAGTCGTGGGTGGGTTTAGGAATGAGTGGATATTTTGGTTAAAAAGATAAAGATTTATCGTTTATTTAAGGGGTCGTTTGGAACTTTTGATTCGGGAAATGATGTATTATGAGAATGTGTGTATTGAAGATTATGTATATGCTAAGAATGTGTGGTTTTGAAAATTCATTGTTTGGAAACCATAAAAGAATGCATGAATTATAGTTTAAATGAACTATGGATACTCAAATCTCACCAAAAAGGTAAGATTCACAATACATAATTTTCTGTGTATTAGAAATACAACATGGATTATGAATACATGCATTCTGTTATTACATTAAGTCAAAAAACGTTGTATTCTGCGGGATACGTGTATACTGAGAATACAACGTCCGGACTCCGGAATTGGAGGTTCCAAACGAGGCCTAAGTTTTTAGTGTATTTTTAATAATTTGAAGGAGGGTAGAATTGTAATTTGATATCATTGAGCCTTTAATACCAAATTTAGATGGGATAATTGACGAAGTTTGGGTTGTTAAAACAAGTATAGTTCTAGCAAAAAAAGGTAATATCTATAATCGAGGAGTTGTTTGTAAAATGTGCATAGTCTGGAGACAAAAAAAAATTCTTAATTAAAATAATATAATATTAATGCTCTATCCGCACTCTCATTATTAAATTCTTGAAAAATCGACGTTTTCACGTTCCCGCTCCCGCTCTGATTATCTAAAGGCAGCCACATCGACTATCATTTTCCGCTTTCATTATGACGTGGATGTGCTCTTGCAATTTCAAAATGAATTTTACTATTTACAAGTGCTTGCAATTATATAGTGAAACCCTATATGCAATTCAATGTGCCAGACTAGTGGGGTTTGCCTATGTTTTTTTCCCTTTTCTAATATTATTTAAATAATATTAAATATATTTTTCGGTGTTATTTTTTATTGCAATTGTCATGATCAATTAGTTGGTGTACTCTTTCTTTATTGTTGACTAGTTATTATTGTTGGACAATGTAATCGCTGTCACTCATTAGTCATTACTAAAAAATACCTCATAGGTTTATGATAAAAAAGATGTGGGTACAATCAAATTTAAAATGAGTTAGATTGCATAATTGTTGAGTGACAATAAAAGCAACAATTGGTCAATTGCAATTGATTTTGCACTTGCATTGATATGAATGCTCTTAGTGGTTATTTGATTTACATTTTAATTTCACAAATGTTTACTGGCAATCAACTTTGTTAACTTTATCATATGTGACTTTCAACGCTCACAATTGATTGTTTAATGAGTGATGCAGCAAATTGGTATAAATATGTATAACCTGTAAACCCAAAAAACCAACGAAACTAAGAGATTGCCTTGGGGACTTTTATCTCTCACGTGGAATAGTCCTGACATGCAGGGGAACCACGTTAAATCCTTGTGTTCTTTAAGTTTCGTATGCTATTTTGACATTGTGTTCACGATTTCGTATCTTTTTGACAAAACCAAGGGATTTTAAAACCTACTTCATCTTCTTAATTTTGCTAATATGATTGCAGATCTGGTGCCTCGAAAAGACTTACAAGATAGCACTTCTGAGTAGGTTTTAGCTATTGATTTAGAGAATTGGTTTCATGGGATTTGAAGTGGTTAAGACCGAATCTAAATAATCAACAAAGTAAGAAAGTTAACAGTGTACAGATTTTATCGTAACTTACTAACACAATGTGCGTTAGTTAGTCCACTAACAGGAAAGACCCCGTAACTTCTAGTACTCGACGACATAATCTGATTCCAATCATATATCAAAAGAAGTAGAGTGCATAACCTCTTTGCCATTAAGGATTTTTCCATTAAGGATATAAGGAGTCGCGAAATTAAACTCCATCTATCTTTTTGTAGTGAAACCCAAGTTCGACACATAAACCCAAAACCCGATTAATCGAATGTCGTGGGAAAACGAAATCTGGGCGTTTCATATTTTGCAAAGCGCTGTCTAGAGATCTTTGTTGCGTTGGGTAATGGCGAAAGGAAGTGTTGGAACTTGCCTGTCTTATTTCGATAACCCCAACAAACACGATGCAAGTGGAAGACATTCCTTCCTTCATTCCCTTTTGCTTTGAAGTTGATTGGAATCTCCTGCTGCAGCCCTACTTATTTGACTCTCTTTTTTTTACCTTCTTTTCACGTCCTCGTTTTCCTTTCGTTTCCCGCAGCTAAACTTTTCTTAATCAATAACTAATCGCTTTTTAAATGCGCCAACGTTCTGATAATTTAGTACAGGCGTACAGCTAATCGGATAACAGTTTTCAAAACTTACAACAAAAAAATGGGTAAATTGCAAGTTTGGTCACTAGAATTACTATAAAAATTCACGTTTGCCACTCAAATTAATTTGTTCTGTCAGAATAGAAGCGTGCAATCGATAATCCAAACCAACACGAACGAACACAAATTTAACGTGGTTCACTAACACAATGTGTGCTAGCTAATCCACGGGCAGGGGGAACAAATTTCACTAATTTGAGGATAGTACAGGTTACAAACCAAATTCCAAACGGACAAACCAAACAAACTAACCTGACTGACCCCTACTACAGACTATGGTGATGAAGAGTATTTATAGAACTCTTCTCCTAATCCCAAACAGAAAACCAAATACCTTTTTCCAAACATACAAGGAAAAGGTCAAAACAAAACTCAATCCTAAACCCAAACAAAATAGGCACAAAACACAAAACAAACCCAAATCAAATTCAAATCATATTCTAACAATCTCCACCTTGACTTGAATTATCTCTCAAATACCAAAAGTTGCCAGATGTACCAAACGCAACCAAAGTTGCCAGATGTACCCAGACGCGATACATATCGCCAGACGTATCCAAATGCGATCGAAACCGCCAAACTCAAACGCAATCAAGATTGCCAGACATATCCAAATGCGATTCATATAGCCAGACCAAACGCGATGCAAATCGCCAAACTCAGATGCAATCAAAATTGTCAGACGTACCAAACTCCTCCAAATCAGCTGTACCAGAATCTCCCCTGCCTCCAAATGCCCCTAAGGGCGATCGACAAATCAAAACATGCAGCAAGTCCAACTCATGTTGGGACTTGCCATGCATAACCAACTTGGTGTTATTTCCATCGACAACACCAACATCAGATTTACTTCCAACTCCAAACCTCGTCGATTGCGCAGCCGATCAACCAGGAGCGCGATCCAAAATCCGCCAAGACAGTTTCAAATAACCAAAGATCAACCGCGGCTCTGATACCACTTGTCAGAACAGAAGCGTGCAATCGATAATCCAAACCAACACGAACGAACACAAATTTAACGTGGTTCACTAACACAATGTGTGCTAGCTAATCCACGGGCAGGGGGGAACAAATTTCACTAATTTGAGGAGAGTACAGGTTACAAACCAAATTCCAAACGAACAAACCAAACAAACTAACCTGACTGACCCCTACTACAGACTATGGTGATGAAGAGTATTTATAGAACTCTTCTCCTAATCTCAAACAGAAAACCAAATATTTTTTTCCAAACATACAAGGAAAAGGTCAAAACAAAACTCAATCCTAAACCCAAACAAAATAGGCCCAAAACACAAAACAAACCCAAATCAAATTCAAGTCATATTCTAACATGTTCCATTCATAGTCACTTAAATTAGTCCAACCGTTCAAGTTTGGTCACTCTCCGTTAGTCTCCGTTAGTTTTATCTGACGTGGCAGTCAACTCTGAGAGTTGACCATTAAATAAATGACGTGTCAATTAAAAAATTAATAAAATAATAAATTTTAATCTTTCACAAATTCCACCTCATTATTAAAATAATAAAATAAACAAATAAATACATATTTCCTCCATTCGGCTATATTCGCTTTTGGGGGCGTCCGCCGCCCGCGCAGGCGCGCACCCTGCACCGCCGCCAATAATAGAAGCAAGTGAGAGAGAGATGAGGGCAGAAAGAGAGAGGGAGATATGGACTCACCAACTTCAACTTCAACGACGACTTCGACAGTGGCGGTGGAATCGTCAATGGCGGCAGTGGATTCGTCGGCGATGACGAGGATTGTAGCGTCAAGATGATCAATTCGCTCCTTGGGTGCGGCCTTTCGAGGGTCTATACCGACAAGGAAGTTCTGAGGAAGGAGCGCGTCATGTCGGAATACCTCCAGCAGGCAGTGGTCGACGCGATTAGGTCAAAAGACGAGGCGCTACCACAATAGCGCCAAAAAGAAAATCCCCGAGGACGCGCCGGCGCGTTGCAATGCCCCATGGTGGTCTTCCTCAATTCAAAGAGAGGTGGCCGCCATGGCCCCGTACTCAAGAAGCAGTCAGATCTTCTCCCGGGCGATCTACTAATTAACTCGCTTTCCATTCCCGCTGCCGCCAGGACCTCTCTCTCTGCTCCCGGAGCGCTGGTCCCTCTCCCTACTGAGCATCCTCCTCCTTGCCTGAGAAGCCGACGAGGAGTTCCGGCTGGACTCGCGGCTGAGTTGCAGCAGCGGAGTAGTGGTAGGGTTGGCATCTGGGGAGAAGAATGAAAAAGGAATAATTATTTGCTTTATATATTTTTAAATTTATTCTAATAATGAGGTGGAATTTGTGAAAGATTAAAATTTATTATTTTATTAATTTTTTAATTGACACGTCACTTATTTAACGGTCAACTCTCAGAGTTGACTGCCACGTCAGATAAAACTAACGGAGACTAACAGAAAGTGACCAAACATGAACGGTTGGACTAATTTGAGTGACTACGAATGGAATAAATTAATTTGAGTGACAAACGTGAATTTTTATAGTAATTCTATTGACCAAACTTACAATTTACCAAAAAAAATTGTAGGTAGTGGTGTGGTGGCCGGTGGTCAGGAACAAAAACCGAAAGGCTTTTTGCCAGAGAGAGCACAGGCGGAGGCCGAAGATCGATGGGCCTTCTTCAGTTGTTAATTCCCGCTTGCTACCTCTCCCATCATTCTCTGCCACGATCATACTTCTTTAACGTGGGGTCGGGTTGGGTCGGGTATATGGATGTGATTAGGAGATCAGAGATCATACACACGAGAAAAACCTAAATGCTCACTTCAGAATTCATTCAACCATTGCGTCCACAACATACAATTAACTTACAACTTTTATCGACTATGTGTGTTCATGGGTTGATAATTATATTTGCTATTTGGCGAAGGAGAGATTCATAGACAAGTCGTTCTTCATTCACTTCTATAATTACTCTTGTTAGAATCAAGGTTCAACAAAACGAGGTATGTAAGGCGAGCGTTGAAATTTCACCTAGCATCTAGCTTATTTTGGAGCGTTAGAAGTGAAAATAGCCTTTTTAATAGATGTTGAATGAAACTGTTGTTTTGCAACACTTTCCACTTAAGATTAAATAATTTTTAACTTATTAGCACTTACAAAAAAACAATGCGATGAATGAGCTGACATTTAACAACCTCCTTATCATATATTTGATGATTTAAGTATTAAACATGTATCGCATATGTACAACACGCGTCGAGTACACGTATTTAAGAAAATCTAATTGATGTTTTAAAATTTTTATATTATAAATGCTTGATATCTTTATTATCGATGATGAACTTTCTAATTTATTGTTAATGCGGTAAAATATCCATCCCATATTTAACTAACTGTGCATGCAATAACAATATCAAAACACTTACGGTTCATTTGTTTAATGGATTTAAAAAGTGAAAGCTTTGGTAAAATCTGAGTTTTGGAAAATCATGAATATATGATGGATTTGGTGGAGTTATGGATTTGAACAAGTCTATTATTTGTTTGTTGGATTTATTATGAATTTTACCTGATTAGATTTGTGGATATGAAACACAAATTACCTTGGTACCCTTTGATATATTTCTATTATAATTATTCATTGGCATCGAACAAATATTCAAATCGGTTTATGAAATATAATTGACCATATTGCTCTTGTTTGAATAAAATACAACATTACAAACAAAATAAAATTCACTACTTAAAATGTCAACATTCAAACTTTTTTAGTCTAATCCAACAAATAACATAAACATTCATATATAAATAAAATACGATATTACAAATAAAATTATATATGTTTCTACTTCTCTCTCTTCCCTTCTCTCTGAATCGTAATCCTCTTTGCCAATGACGACCGTCACCTGCGGAGCCTCCTCGGGTGCCGTCGGTGACGGGCGCACCTAGGCGTCTCTGTTCTCGATCAATCCTGATTTTAAGTTGGATTAATACGAGCCGGAGTTTATTAATGGCTCACTGCGTATTCCTGCGTTCTGTCATTGATGAAGGATCTAAGTGTTGGGTCAACTGTCTCGTTGGGCAATTTCTTGATCGGCCGGCGTCGCTCTCATCTATTCATTTTTGGGCGAATTGGATTTGGGGGCGCGATGGAGCGATTAGGGTTTCATGGTTGGGGGATAAGCTGGTTCTGTACTTCTGTTCCAATTTCCGACGGCGGAGGTCTGCCGCTGGGTCTTCGAAGGAGGGCCTTTGCACCACAGGGAGAATATGCTTGATGACTCGGTATTTGCACATGTTTTCCCCTTTGTTTCTTGATTGTTTGAGCTTGAATTATTGCGTCTTTGGCCTATTTTATGCTAGGTTGTATTCCTTTGTCCCATTTCAGGTCCTAGCACATAAAGTGAAGCATAGGCGCAAGTTTCAAGTCAATCAGAGATCAATTGACGATTCGAGAGAAGAAACTCGGGCATGACCTGAAGAAGAATGGATTTCTACCTCACTTTATGGACAAAGAATCATGCAAGCTTGTTATGAAACGAAAGAGGACGAGACTACGAGCGTCTGGGATCAAACGGCGATTGATTCGGAGTCCGGACGAGGGAGAAACGAAGCATTAAACAGAGGCTGAGCAAGCTGCACGGGCAGACCAGGGAGGCTGCACGGCCGTGCACGTGAGCAATATGGCCGTGCGCCTTATGCCGAGGACACGCACGGGCAACCCTGAAGCTCGCACGGCCGTGCACCCTGGCCGTGCGAGAGGGCTGAAGTTCGACTAAATGATACGCTGCGTTTTGAGTTGCACGGCCAGAATGGTGATATGCACGGCCGTGCACCCTGGCCGTGCGAGTCGGGATTTCCTGGTTTTAAGCCAAATTCCGAACCAAAGAAGAGGAGAGCTGGGTTTTGGATCCCAAACACCCAAGGGACGAACCCTAGAGAGAGAGGGCGATTTGAGGGCATTCTTGGAGTAGAGAAGGAGGATTTCTTCGCCTTGGAAGCTCGAGGAACAAGCCCGGACTTGAAGACTGATCATCTGAAGATTCTTACTGCAGTCTCTCTCTTCCCTATGGAGTAACTTCCCTTCACTTAGGTTTTGAGGAACCCTAGCTATGTTTGTTTGATTGGATGATTGTATGAGTACTCTGACTGGATAATCTTGAGTTCATATTCAATCTATGCATGTTTTCATGATTCAATTCTGCTTTAGTCGAGCTTATTGATTCTGCTTTGATCCTATGAGAGGGAATACCTGATTAGGTCAATAGAGCACCATAGATTGATAGTAGTGGATCGATTGCTTTAGTCGAGGGTTGATTCACTGCTTTGTATCGATTGAGAACCTCTTTCGATAGAGGGAGTCTAGTTCAGAACGCCTTGATCAGTTGTTCTAGAGAAGGATACGTCCCTCTAGGCAATTGACTCAAGAGGGCCTTGTTCCTTTAGTCGAGAGTCAAGGTCTAGTCAAGGATTCTCCGCATTGTGAATGAAAGTGAAACAGGTTAGAGATCATCAATCGTTAATCTGGCTAGTGGCTAGGGGGAATCATACCTAAGTGAGTTCCCAACCTGTAATTAGATTAACTTTAACTGTAGTTTGCTAGAGTAGTTTTAGCTCTTTCATCTTAATCTGGTTTGCTAAATAATAAACTGAAGCTGAGTAATAGTAACTCTAGAGACCCGTGGATTCGATATTTATCACTTGAGCCACTATACTGCAGTCCCTTTCATTGGTTACACTTGGCCTTTGTTAGGTGTTGTGTTTTAGAGCATCAAGTTTTTGGCGCCGTTGCCGGGGACTTTCTAGAGTATTAGGAAAGGCAGAAGTTTGTTACTTTAGCGTTTTTATTTTCTTTTCTTTTCCACCCTTGCTTTTCACTTGGGTTTTTTGTTTTTGTTGGTGCAGATCTGAATCATGGATCCTAATGGCTTCTCCAATCATTGGGGGTATCCACCACCATCTGGGTGGTATTACCCCGAGACTCCGTGGAGCAATCAAGGCGGAGAAGACTATGGATTCGGGTTCCAGTACCAACCCCCTTACTACGGAGAACAACCGGACCCCTGGGCATATCAAGAACAACCTCATTATCAAGAAGAATTTCTCCCACAACCAGAAGGGCCATCGGCACTGGAGTTACTCATGGAGCAGTATGCTCGAGACTGTGAGAGAACATGCTCCAGGATGGATCAGTGTGTCCAGGCCTATCGTGAAACAGATGAGATCCTCCTGAGCCTTAAGAAGAGCGTCGATGATCTTGAGCGATCTTGGGCGCAACCTGCTCCAGATCACCCTTCTGCTACCCTACAAGAAGAGGAGGAGGAAGAAGAAGGCTACAAGGGCATTGTGGAACACACTGAAGTTGTCACGGAGAGCTCCCGTGATGATCATGATCAGGCCTGTCATGTCGTAGCCGACCACACCTTCCCACACCCCAAACTGAGCTTTGAAGGGGCGGGCATGAGTGAGGAGATGCAAGAAGATCTCATGAAAGAAATTGCTTGGCAACTTGCTCTCCAATCCGTGCTAGAAGAAGAAGAGCAAGAAAGGGTGCAGAAAGAAGTTGTGGAGGATGACGAAAGTGAAGCAGGAGGAGTTCTTGATCATTTCCCAGGGGTGATACCACATGAAGAAGGAAGGGAGGTTGAAGAAGCAACTGGCGTCCAGGCTGAGGACGGAGTTAAGGTGGAAGAGGCCTGCACTGGCCATGAGTTACATGTGATATCTCCACCAAACCTCGAGGAACTGCTTGGCAAGGACCCATTTGCAGTGTCTCTTTGCCAGACCAAGGCCACCTCGACATCGGTCCCTCTTGGTGGACGCGATGGTGGCCAATCAATGTTGTCATATCTGGTTTGGGGCAATGAGACGAGAGAAGAGAAGAAGAGGTCTCGAGGGTGGAGACTTCATCTGCATCAAGTACATGAGCCTTCATCACCTGCCACACCACATGCTCGTGACTTGAGACTCCACCTCATCGACGAGAACCTCAACTTCAAGGAGGTTCTAGCATGGACCGAAACTTAGGAGCCATCGTCCGGCTCACGACGTGAAAGAAGCGCTTGTTGGGAGGCAACCCAACCAGTCGGTTTGCATTTCTTTCTCTATTTCTCTTCGGTGGAGTCAGTTTTGTTCTTTGATTTTAGAGTCAATAACTCAACCTTTGTGAGATTTTGTGTGGTGTTTGTGTTCTGATTACTCTCTCCTTCTGGAATGCACCGCCTGACCCGTTCATCACCATTCACCCTTGATCTGGTAACTTCGTTCTACCCTCCTTATCTTTCCTCCATTGAGGACAATGTCGTGCTTAAGTGTGGGGGGATGTTCGATTATGTATGCGGGTGAATGTTTGGCTGTTTGTGTGCTTGGAGCCTAGTCCACTGTCCAAATTTTTAAATTTGAGGGCTCCAAGTACGTGTTTCCTTGCAATTGCCTGCTCAGTATGCTTTGAATTGACAGTCTTTACAGTAATATGCAACCTAGGGAGGTAGTGTAGCACTATGGAGGATGTTGATGCATTTAAGAAGTCTCATTTCTTCTTCATATAAAGTTGGTTGATTGAGTGAATTAGTGATCTTAGGACCCTTGAATTGTGTGGTGTTGTGGATTCTCTGCTTGTCAAGGACTCTTGTATCATGTTTTGAAAATAACAGGTGCTCGAAAATGTGCTTCAAAATAAACGTCTCCCGTGCGAATAGGGCGAAAGTGTGTAAGGGGAGACGGGAATTCGTTCCCAATTTCCACCTACTACCTCCAGCCCCCTTACATGTCTTTCCCCCGCACGAGGCTCGAGACATCCGCTCCTGGCATGGCCGGTAAGAGCAGGTTGGGACCCTTGAAAAGAAAAAAAGAAAAGAAAAATAACAGAAAACAAGCAAAACAGAAAAAAGGGGTCTCAACCATCTTCAAGAAGAAAATAGAGCACCTTGAAAAATGTGAGTCCATGATCCTTTGTTTTTGAGAATCTCTGCATCCACAATTCATTTGTCCTCTGTTCACTATTTGCCATGATGCCGACTCGATACTAGTGCTCTCGCCGAAGAAGCTATGAGATGACTTGTGTGTCGGTTGACCTCGTAAGTTGCTAAATGATCTAGGAAGTCCTCTACCTACGATCTGGGGTGTTTGTTGCTATAGAGGTCTGAAGAGTTGCATTGGTTTGAGTTAGGTTCGCTTGGGGACAAGCAAACAGTTAAGTGTGGGGGGATTTGATGACTCGGTATTTGCACATGTTTTCCCCTTTGTTTCTTGATTGTTTGAGCTTGAATTATTGCGTCTTTGGCCTATTTTATGCTAGGTTGTATTCCTTTGTCCCATTTCAGGTCCTAGCACATAAAGTGAAGCATAGGCGCAAGTTTCAAGTCAATCAGAGATCAATTGACGATTCGAGAGAAGAAACTCGGGCATGACCTGAAGAAGAATGGATTTCTACCTCACTTTATGGACAAAGAATCATGCAAGCTTGTTATGAAACGAAAGAGGACGAGACTACGAGCGTCTGGGATCAAACGGCGATTGATTCGGAGTCCGGACGAGGGAGAAACGAAGCATTAAACAGAGGCTGAGCAAGCTGCACGGGCAGACCAGGGAGGCTGCACGGCCGTGCACGTGAGCAATATGGCCGTGCGCCTTATGCCGAGGACACGCACGGGCAACCCTGAAGCTCGCACGGCCGTGCACCCTGGTCGTGCGAGAGGGCTGAAGTTCGACTAAATGATACGCTGCGTTTTGAGTTGCACGGCCAGAATGGTGATATGCACGGCCGTGCACCCTGGCCGTGCGAGTCGGGATTTCTTGGTTTTAAGCCAAATTCCGAACCAAAGAAGAGGAGAGCTGGGTTTTGGATCCCAAACACCCAAGGGACGAACCCTAGAGAGAGAGGGCGATTTGAGGGCATTCTTGGAGTAGAGAAGGAGGATTTCTTCGCCTTGGAAGCTCGAGGAACAAGCCCGGACTTGAAGACTGATCATCTGAAGATTCTTACTGCAGTCTCTCTCTTCCCTATGGAGTAACTTCCCTTCACTTAGGTTTTGAGGAACCCTAGCTATGTTTGTTTGATTGGATGATTGTATGAGTACTCTGACTGGATAATCTTGAGTTCATATTCAATCTATGCATGTTTTCATGATTCAATTCTGCTTTAGTCGAGCTTATTGATTCTGCTTTGATCCTATGAGAGGGAATACCTGATTAGGTCAATAGAGCACCATAGATTGATAGTAGTGGATCGATTGCTTTAGTCGAGGGTTGATTCACTGCTTTGTATCGATTGAGAACCTCTTTCGATAGAGGGAGTCTAGTTCAGAACGCCTTGATCAGTTGTTCTAGAGAAGGATACGTCCCTCTAGGCAATTGACTCAAGAGGGCCTTGTTCCTTTAGTCGAGAGTCAAGGTCTAGTCAAGGATTCTCCGCATTGTGAATGAAAGTGAAATATGTTAGAGATCATCAATCGTTAATCTGGCTAGTGGCTAGGGGGAATCATACCTAAGTGAGTTCCCAACCTGTAATTAGATTAACTTTAACTGTAGTTTGCTAGAGTAGTTTTAGCTCTTTCATCTTAATCTGGTTTGCTAAATAATAAACTGAAGCTGAGTAATAGTAACTCTAGAGACCCGTGGATTCGATATTTATCACTGGAGCCACTATACTGCAGTCCCTTTCATTGGTTACACTTGGCCTTTGTTAGGTGTTGTGTTTTAGAGCATCAATGCTCTTCCTGCGCAAATGGGAACCAGGTATTCAACCCCTTGCTATTGATAATTATGTTGTTCCAATATGGGTTAGATTGTCGAATTTGCCTTCTGAGATGACTTTGAAGGAGGAGTTAGGGCAGATTGCAAGCTCCTTTGGTAAGCCGCTTTGTATGGACTTTTCCTACGAAGTAGGGGACGCGGTTTGGGGTGGCCAAGGTCTGTGTGGAGGTGACAGTGAAGTCGAACATGGTCAACAAGTTGAGTATTACCCCTTATGGCAGGCCTGAGATGTTCGCGAATGTAGAATATTGCCATGTGTCAAGCAAATGTATGAAGTGTAATGTTTTTGGGCATGATTGTTCGAATCCAGGAGGGAAAACGAAGCAAATTTGAGTTGTTAAGCAGCCAAGAGTTCAGGAAGTACATCAAGCTTCTAAGGATAAGGGCAAAGGAGTTTTAATGGAGGGAGTCACTGAGTCTTCCAGTCCTGTTATAGAGATGGCTCAAGTCGCTGACCCTCTTCATTCTGGTAAGTCTCCCACTTATGAGGAGGTGAGGGATATCACTGCTACTATTGAGGATGGGTTTCATATGGTTATGAATAGAAAGCATCGAGTGAGAGCTCCTGCTCTTGGGTCGATTAAGAGCCCATGGAATGGTTCTACTAGTAGCACTTCCAGGAAGTTGTCTTTGGATGAAAGGAGTTTTCCAACTTTGAGTCGTCCTAGTCCGAAGCAAGTTGTTGATCCTCCCCCTGCACCTGCAAAAGGTAGAGGTCGAGGGAGGAAGCGAGGTAAATGAAGGTTATATGTTGGAATGTCAGGGGGTTTAATGCCCCTGACAAGCACTCCACAGTGTTGAAGAAAATTTGTCGTTTAAAGTTGGATATTATAGCTATTATAGAGACTAGAGTAACAGAAGATAATAGTGTAGGTATACTTTCTAAACAGTTTAGTCATTTGAAATATTTGAATAACTACCCTAAGTCCCCTAATGGTCGAATCTGGTTACTCTGGAATAAAGGTTTAAGGATTACAAAAGTTGAGGATGGCAAGCACTTTCTGAAGGTGAAAGTTTGGGGAGTCTCCCCTTTTATTCTCATGGTGGTTTCTAGCCCGAATAAAGAGAGTGAGAGGTCTGTTCTATACAAAGATCTTCTCCCTCACAAAGAAAGTGTTCTACCTATGGCTATTTTGGGTGATTTCAATGTTGTTTTTACTCCAAGGGAGACTTCAAACCTCGCTGTAATGAGTTCCAGTATGGTTGAGTTTCATACTTGGGTCGATGAGATGAAATTGGAGGAGCATAAGGTCGTGGGAGCTTGGTTTACCTGGTGGAATAAGCAGAAAGAGAATCCAATAGCCAAGAGGTTGGATCGGATTTTTATTAATGAGGCTTGGCTTTCAGTATTTGCAACTAGCACTGCTACTACTACGGCCCATGGGATTTCTGATCACTGTGGCTTGCTGTTGCAAGTTATGCCTCAATTAGACAGTCTGCCAAAACCGTTCAAGTACTTTAAATTCTGGTCTAGTCACCCTACTTACTTTGATTTGGTCTCAGAAGCTTGGAATACTGCTGTAAAGGGTCGCCCATACTTTGTTTTCTATGGGAAGTTGAGGCAGGTGAATACCTCTTTCTTCCATCGTTCTGTAAAGGTGCACACTCACAAGCAGCATATTACTCGTCTTATAAACTCACAAGGACAGGAAGTTTCAGATATAAAGGAAATGAGGAGAGTGGTTGTTGAGTTCTATAAGCAGTTAATAGGGGAGGCAAGTTCTGATGTGGTGGTGCATCCTTCTAGTTTTTATGAGCATTTGTCACTCAAGAAGATTTCAGCTGAGGAGTCTCTATCTCTGGTTGCTCCAGTTACTAGGGAGGAGAACTGGCAAGTGTTTAAGAACCTTGGTAGGGACAAAACCCCAGGGCCCGATGGATTTCCATCTGAATTCTATCATCTTCATTGGGGGATAATTGGGGATTTGGTTGTGAAAGTGACTAAGGACTTTTTCCAGTCAGGCATATTGCCTCCTATCCTGAACTCTACTCTTTTCACTCAGGTTGCTAAGGTTCCTAGTGCATAGAGGATGAAGGATTTCAGGGCAATCTCATGCTGTAATACAATCTATAAAGGGATTTCCAAGATTTTGGCCAACAGGTTAGTAGTAGTCTTACCCTCTGTTATATCCACCTCTCAATCTACTTTTATTAAGGGTCTCTCATTATGTGATAATGTTTTGTTAGCTTCTGGACTGGTTAAGGATTATCATAGAAAGAATATTACTCCTCTTTATGCTATTAAAATCGACGTTATGAAGGCATTTGATTCGATCGATTGGTCATTTCTATTTTCTATACTTGAAGTGATGGGTTTTCCTATTTAGTTCATAAGCTGGTTAAAAGCCTGTGTATATTGCTCAAAGATTAGTGTAGGCTTGAATGGTGTCTCTTGTGGTGTTTTTGCAATGAAACGTGGGCTTCGTCAAGGGGATCCATTATCCCCTTATTTGTTTATAGTGGCCATGGAAGTCCTAGATGCTATGCTAAAGTTGGCAGTGACACAGAACCAAGTTCCCTTCCATCCTCGTTATAAACCATCAGCCATAACACACTTATGTTTTGCTGATGATTTGTTGGTTTTTACAAATGGTTCTATGTGTGGGGTGGCTGGTATATGTCGTGTTTTGGATGCGTTCTATGTTGTTTTGGGTTTAAAGTGCAACCCAGAGAAATGTCAATTATTCTGTGGGGGAATTTCTGGGGAGGAGCAGCGGTTTATATCTTCTTTCACTAAGTTCCCATTGAGGTAGCTCCCTGTTCGTTATCTTGGGGTTCCCTTAATCACTGGGAAGCTCACTCGTGTTGAATGTAGAGTGCTAGTGGAAAAGATCACTGCCAGAGTTCGCAGTGGGAGAGCCAAATCACTAAGTTTTGCTGGTTGGCTTCAATGAATTTCTTCGGTTTTGACTAGTACGTTGCAGTTCTGGATGAGTATTTTTCTTCTGCCTCAATTTGCCATTAAAGAAGTTGAGTTAGTTTGCAACAAGTTCTTGTGGGACATTGATGACTCCTCTGTCAGGAAGAGAGCAGTCGCATCTTGGAAATTCCTTGCTCGCCCAAAAGCGGAAGGAGGCCTAGGCATTCGTGATTTTGCTCTTTGGAACAAAGCCTGTGTGCTTCGACATTTTTGGTCCATTCTTGATTCTTGCCGAGGAGGACTCAATCTGGCTTGCCTGGATTCGGCGTTACCGAGTCAAACAGTCCTCCATTTGGGACATTAAGGTTTCTGTCGCTGGCTCTTGGATCTGGAGGAGAATACTGAAGTGTCGTGAGCTGGCTAGGTCTTCATTTTGCAGACTGGGACTGATCTGACTTGGGATGGTGATGTCATGAAGGTCTACTCGGTAAAAAAAGTCTAAAACTCGATGAGACAGCATGAAAGTCCTGTCCCATGGGTTGACCTGGTCTGGGGTATGCAGTATGCACATTGTGCCTAGACATGGGTTCATTCTGTGCCTTCTTATTCATGACAGACTGAAATTGCAGGATAAATTGATTGAGTGGGGAAAACAACTTTCGGGACTCTATTTACTTTGTCCAGGTGGTTACGAAACACGATATCACTTGTTTGTGAGCTGTTCATATGTCAGATGG